ACTATCCTATTCGTAGAGGACGTCATTTATGATTTATTTAGATTGTAACAGATTCATGGCACGCAATAACATTAGCGAGACTGATTTGGTCGTTGAATAATTGACGATCACTTTCCCCCTTCCCCTGCGGTCTTCAGCCGGTAAACATTCTAGCTCAGCGGGGTACCTCTGCTGCAATGAGAGTGTGATGACAATGATGATGGGGCCCAGAATGGCGCACATCGATGGAACGCCAGGCTTATGAATATTTAACCAGGCAGAGCGTTCGTCGTTGCAGCCGCGTGCAGTAAATCAGTGCAGTAGAGGCTTCATTTTAATTGTTGTTTTGTATGCAACGTCTACGAGCAGAAGGATTGCACATCACCATCGAGTGTGGTCAGAAGTGGTTAGTGATTTCCTCCTAGGAGGGGTTTGGGCCTCTGATGATCGTTCTGGGAAGAATTATGACTGCAACACGAAGTAGCAGTACTTGATTGCTTGTAATTGACGGTTGTGCGACATGCTGCGTTGAAATGACTAATGATGCAAGCAATGTGGATCCATCGGAATCCTAACGAAATAAGTCGATTGACACGCTTCCGAGAAATCCAATACACTTACGAATCAACCAGGTAATTACATTAACCCGCATCATTTGTCACCTCCGACCAGAGAGGTGATCTTAATTACGAATACACACTGGAGCAATAAGCCCGCCTAAACGAAATCACCGCCATCGGTGGTGACTCGAAAGCTAGTCTCATTAGCTGACAAATCCCCGTGAAAATTGATACCAAAACCATGCCAAGCCCTAGCCGCAAACGGCTTAGAGCAGAGCACTCGCGCAACTGGTTTCCAATTAATTAATTAGCAAAATATGGCAAATAGGAATGTCGCTACAAGTGTGGCAGAGCCCACATCACACGATCGATTTGAGTAACCGAGTCTACTGCTGAAACCACAAATCACCCACTAGCCGTCCTGGTTTGGCCTTTGTACGTCACCAGACGATTAATTCGAATACGCACCTCCACTAATAACCCATATCAGTGTCTCCTAATATTGGACAGCAGAGAGAGAAAGAAGCCCGGCGAAAGTCCGACCCTCATATGTCAACTTCCAAGCGAAAAAGAGAGGCGTCCTCGATGCGGTCAACACATTTGCTCGCTAATTTTTCACCCCTGAAATCTCAATTATTCGCGTGCGCGCGCCTAGCAAAAGCCGATTAGATCTCCTTCTCGGAAATAGTCTTCGATTGGACCGACAGAAGGACAGTCAGCCAAACCACACCGATGACGCAACCACCGATCTGTCTGTGGAGTTCCAATCACGCTCGATGACCACAATGAACGGAGCGGAGATCTGCGAGAAGAGCGTTTGTCACTCAGGATCGTTATCATGACGGCCGGTGCGGGACACTAATTACAAAGTTCGGACTCCGCTCGCTGGTGGAGGTGCGAGCATTGTCCAAATCAAGACATTAACATTGGGACTGGATTGATCCACCTATTGACATGGGGGTGACGTATGTAACAAAACATTTGTTAAGACGTATTGCTCGGCAACCACTGGACCGAATTGGACGCAACAACCACCAAATGAACCCTATCAGCACACTTGTCTTAATAACTCCTATGCGACTTATTCCGGTCACAACAAAGTTGCTGCACCTTTTATTATTATTATTTGTTAACATCAACAGGTTCTATGTGGCCCCAATTATGGTTTAAAAGGGTAACTCAAAAGTAAGGTCAAAATTATAAAATACATAGTTATTCCGAGTCTGTCTTGTCTGTCTTGTCTGTCTTGTCTGTCTTGTCTGTCTTGTCTGTCTTGTCTGTCTTGTCTGTCTTGTCTGTCTTGTCTGTCTTGTCTGTCTTGTCTGTCTTGTCTGTCTTGTCTGTCTTGTCTGTCTTGTCTGTCTTGTCTGTCTTGTCTGTCTTGTCTGTCTTGTCTGTCTTGTCTGTCTTGTCTGTCTTGTCTGTCTTGTCTGTCTTGTCTGTGGTTCTTATTTTGTCTAGTTTTGATTCTTTTTTAGTTTTGTCTCTAGTCTTGTCTGTTTTGTTCATCTCTGTCTTGTCAGTCTTGTCTGTCTTGTTTGTTTTGTCTGTCTTATCTATTTCGTTCATCTCTGTCTTATCTATCTTGTCTGTCTTGCCTGTCTTGTATGTCTTGTATGTATCGTCGAACTACCTATCAGTCTTGTATGTGGTTCTAGTTTTGACCAGATTTGTTCCTAATCTAGTTTTGTCTCTAATGTTGTATGTCTTGTCAGTCTTGCCTGTCTTTCTAATTTTGTCTGCATGCCTTGTCACACTTCCCATTTTGTCTATTTTATAAATTTTATTTATCTTGCTTGTTTTGTCTACCTATTTTGTACTGTCTGTATTGTCTGTTTTGTCTACATTATCTGCCTTAACGCAGCCTGAATTCCGAATTGACTACCTTGCCTTGTTGAGTGTGCATCTTCTGATTTATTTTGCATCTGTCTTGTTCGCTTTATTGTCTGCTTTCTACAGGCAGACTAATTACAACACATTTCCCACACTTTTAAGACACGTAAAATAAGTCCCATTTTTGAGTAGGCTGCGCCGATTCGATCATGGCTTGCGTAAATTTCAATCACCCGTGTGTTTGTGTGATTGCCGCTGGCCAGTGGCCAGAAGTCAGTTCACAGAAATCTTCATGCCATGTGTGCCACATCTTATCGAATCTATTTCATCTGCACCGGCCGTCGGTGGTGGCAGGTTCACTTTGGAAATTGATTCATTGAATTTTCTCAACTTCCATTCATTGGTATGATTGAAAATGTGTCGATCAACGTATCGCCCGGTTGGATCGAGAAACAGAAAGAAAGAGTGACGACATCTATCTTCTGCTGTCCGCATTTGCTCCTGGTATCCTACTTAGGATAAGGTGGTACTGGGAAGATGTTGATCACGATCTTGTGCGCAGAGAGAGCCGCAATGTACCGATCTTCTTGCGGTTAATGGTGGTTTCGTTTCCTGTCGTCTGACGCTAGGTAACGACTGACGACCAACTCGATCTCACACTGTACGTAAAAAAGGCATTAGTGTGCTACTAATATTGATTGATGGTAGATGGAATCCACCAGGTAGATTTTATTAGCGTGTGTTTCAATAAATTCCTTTTTTGAAGTGTGAAAACGCTCCAAACCAAAAACGATTTTCAAACTTTTAAAAACATTGCTTTGAAAACAGATGGGTTGGAAATCATCACCTTCTCCAACGACATTACTTGAAATTAAGTTGTTCATTTAATATTCCAATTTCAACATGCAAATTCATTTCGTTACAGGTTAATTTTCTTTCAACCCTATTCCAGAATCTAGGATCTATCTCTATAAAACTATACTTTACATTCAATAACCCAAATCCAGCTCAGATCGCTCCGCTGGCCTGGTCCAAACGGGCCATGCGTGGTAGTTAAATGTCAGCATCTTTCACTCTTCAACGTCCCATAAAGCTCCTCGTCCAATTCGCCGGCAGCGCAGAAACTGGAGCAATAATTTCTAATCAGTGTCTTTTGATTTATAGTCCCCCGTGAGAAGCAGCCCAACCATATCGATGTCCAAAGCGTGGACACATCTCATTATTTCGTTACCGCTGGCAACGGCGAAGAGTTGCCCTTCAGGACGTCCATCACAGCCAAGCCGAACCAAGAGAGAGAGAAAGTCATAAATTCAATCTATTTCGCGAGCAAGGCATAATAACGCCCCAGTCCGTCTCTCAGGACGACGGTGACGCTCAAGAAAACAACAGCATCAACCAGGGGGAATTGAATTTTAGTCAAGACATCAACCCGTGTAGTGACAGTTGGTCCGTCTGTCTGCCTGTCTGTCACTGCCAGTCCAACGTATGATTCGGTGGCATATGCTTTCGATTTTCAACAGCAACTACCACAAGACGTTGAAGTAAATTGAATTTCTCTTAATAATGATCAAACATTACTTATCTGGTCGGTGTGGGAACAACAAGAGACCTTACCGACCGCTGACGTCGACCAACGACGACAACCAGGGAACCCATAAGGTCGAAGCGCTAAACATTTAGCAAATTAAGTCGTAGGTGGACACCAATTTATTGTTTCTCATGTTCGGCTCACGGGCACACAAATGTAACTTGGGGTACGTATGTATGAGGTCCGTCCCTCGCCATGATTGACACTGATGCAGGGAGATTAATTGCTTGCTGCCGCCGTCGTCGTCGTCGTTTCGGTGGCTGATACTGATGCTGGGAAGCATGTGGCGATGAGCGCGAGTTGCACGCGTTCAAGTGATCCTGGTATATCCATGTTCACACCTCCCGGCGCAGGAATGAGGGATTTCAATGCCGGTAGATTGACGAACCGTTGTAAACTTTGTCAGCGGTGGCCGGATTTTGCCATTCAAGAAGTTGATTATTTTCCAGCATTTTACGGTAATTCGACGGCTCAGAGGTCTACCACTGTAGACAACTCCCTCCATCTGTAATTACCTTGGTAATGTGACTACATACCGCAAGGACTTAAATGTACACAAAGACTAATCGCTCGTCGTGCACACGTAAATAACGGCACACATCGAAGTCTACAAACATTCCACGCACCACCACCAGGTTTATTTATCGCCCTAGAGTTTAGACAATTAATATTAATTGAATTTGACATTATTAAATATTGGATGTCTTATTAAAATATTTGCTTAGGCTGCCGTCCAGAGCAGCTCTTGGCCCTGACTACATGCCCGCCGGTAGGTGAATGGCTATTACATGTCAACAAGTCCACCCCCACGCGACGAACGACTCAGTGGAAGCCAAGGCGAGAATCACGGTTCATAAGCAAGCAAGCAAACGGGCAAGGAAAGTCGGTGTCAATTTGATGAGTGAACCGGCTAATGACCTGTTCAATAAATAACGAATGCTTCCGGATTTACACGCAATCCGAGGGGGGAGGTAAAACACACCAAAATGAATATAAACTAAAAGAAAAGAAACATCCATCCGAACCATGCTACTACTCACTGATCGATATCGTGACACTGTCGATCGCAGACGACGCACCGCGCATCGATGCCCTCCTCGTCGTCGTCGTCGGCGTCCGCGTTCTGATCCTGCTCGCCGCCGAGACCGCCGCTACCACCACCACCAGCACCACCACCGGCACTGATGTTACTATTGCTGCTACTGTTGCGACTGTTCTGGTCGACGTTATGATGGTTGCTACCGCTGCTGTTATTATTGTTATTGTTGTGATGTAAATGATCCTTGTGGTGGAGACTAGAATCGAAATCCGTCGAGGTGTTGTACTCGTCTTCGAACGCTTCGCTGTGCTGGGAACCTGCAATGAGAACGAGCAAGAAGCAAGAAAACACTTGATCATTAAACAGATCCATCACTACTAGGTGGGGGGAGGGGGATGTACTGGCGCTCCTTCTCCGGAGCACGTCAGATTCAATGAATGAAATCAGTGAAAAATGACCCTGTTCCGGACAACTGTGCCGCCCAGAAAGTACCTGATGGGCACGGAACTGTGGGTTGGAGGAAAATTTAATGTACGCAGTTATTAAAATATTTGCGGATAGAAATTTTAGGGTGTCCAAAGACAAACATTGAGGCAGTCTTATCTGCTCACCATCTCACGTTGTAAGTGATACAAACCATAGCATCATGCTGCGGATATTTGAAAATGCAACTCGATGCTTACTTCTTAACAGTAAACACCGGAGCAAAGTAAAATAACAACCTGATATCATTTAGATAACAAGTCTTGTTAACCCAGATATCATAATGCTTTCAGTTGTTATCGCATTACTAATTTTGTTGTAAACCTTGAATAATGTTGTTATCAGTTGTTACCGTTAGAAAATAAGCATTATTTGTTAACCGTTCGACCATTTTCGATCTTGTAAATTCAAATATCAGCTTGAATTGCTAGTAGAATTTTAAATTTCATTCATTTTCGTTTTCAAGCAGCCATTGACGTGAAAATAGAGCATGTCATAAATCTGTATGAATTCGTGTGTTATCTTTAAGAAACTGAAATCTCTTCGAAAGAATTAAACATTTATTATTTGCATCATTATAGAGGAAAATCGGAAACGAAAACGCATTCGTTCGCGGAAAGTTGCAGATAAGGAACCCCAAATCAGCTTGCCCAAATCAAGGAGTGATGGAAAAAAGGAAGTTTCAACTCCTCCTGGTTTCCGCAGAACTGACTATAACCAGAATTTTCCATCTCTCCCGGGGACATCAAAAACCCCTGATGGCCCATTTTTAAGAACAGAAGCCCCTTCTTCATCCGGGTTGTTCTCATTTGATAAAATTGTGGACGATATTCTCAAGTACCTCAATATTTCTGATCCTCTCAAAAGCATTGTTCTGGCAATGCTTTCTTCTGTGAAGACCCTCTTGAAGCAATTGACATTGAAGTGGCCCCTCATTGCAGCAATCATTTCCTTCGATGGATAATTTTCCAAAAGAGGTCGGGAATTTGATCACTGTTCTACAGTGGAATTGTCGAAGTCTCATTCCTAAATTAGATTCTTTTAAGTTTTTAGTTCACAATAATGATTGTGATGCATTTGCTCTTTGTGAAACTTGGCTCTCTTCAGATATAGATCTTCCTTTTTATGATTTTAACATTATTCGACTGGATCGTGAGGATTCGCGTGGAGGAGGGGTACTTTTGGGGATCAAAAAGTGCCATTCCTTCTATAGAGTGAATCTTCCACAATTTCCAGGTATTAAAGTTGTCGCATGTCAGGCTATTATTAAAGGTAAGAGCCTTTGTATTGCTTCTGTTTATATTCCTCCTAGAGCCGTTGTTAATCGAACACAACTTTCAGATATCTGTACGGTACTTCCTGCTCCACGGTTGATTATGGGAGTTTTGAATTCCCACGGTACAGGCTGGGGGGAACTGTATGATGACAACCGTTCTACTTTGATATATGACCTCTGCGACAGCTTTAATATAACAATTCTTAACAATGGAGAAGTAACACGTTTGGCTGGCCCATCCTCGAATGGAAGTAGATTAGACCTCACAGTTTGCTCTAACACATTATCGTTGGATTGCACGTGTAATGTGATCCAAGATCCCCACGGTAGTGATCACTTGCCGATCAAAGTTTCAGTTGCCAGTGGGTTCAATCCGTCGGAACCCGTTAACGTCGCGTACGATCTTACCGTAATATCGATTGGACAAAGTTCAAAAATGTGATAGAAGATGCTCTAACGTCGGTAGAAGGACTTCCACCGTTGGAGGAATATAACTTCCTCTCCAATCTGATCTTGGACAGCGCGCTTCGAGCTCAAACTCGGCCGGTTCCAGGAACGTCTTTCCGTAGGAAACCTCCTTCCCCTTGGTGGTACCAGCAATGCACTGAGGTTTATCGTAAAAAGTCCGATGCGTCCGACCCCTACATTTCGAAGCGTACTCGGCTCTTGAACGCGAACTCAAGAGCCTCATCAAAGCCAAGAAACGCGGATACTGGCGGCAATTCGTTGACGGATTATCGCGCGAAACGTCGATGAATACACTTTGGAATGCGGCGCGAAGGATGCGTAACCGGTCTTCACACAACGAGAGTGAGGAGTACTCGGATAGTTGGATTCTCAAGTTCGCGCGAAAAGTATGTCCTGATTCTGTGCCGGCACAGATGATTCCTCGCGAAACGACGAATTCGGTAGACGAGATCAGCCAGCCTTTTCAATGCTGGAGCTCTCACTCGCGCTCCTTTCGTGTGGCAATTCGGCTCCGGGGGCTGATAGAATCAAGTTCAACTTGTTGAAGAACCTCCCAGACGTCGCTAAGAGGCGCATGTTGAACTTGTTTGGTCAGTTCCTGGAGCTTAATATTGTTCCGGATGATTGGAGGCGGGTGAGAGTTATAGCCATTAAAAAGCCTGGAAAACCCGCGTCAGATCACAACTCGTATCGTCCCATCGCGATGTTATCGTGCATTCGAAAATTGTTGGAGAAAATGATCCTTTTTCGCCTGGACAAATGGGTTGAGTTGAACCACCTACTCTCAGATACTCAATTTGGTTTCCGTAGGGGCAAGGGAACGAACGACTGCCTCGCGTTGCTTTCCACTGAAATTCAGTTGGCTTTTGCTAAAAAAGAGCAAATGGCTTCTGTCTTCTTGGTTATTAAGGAGGCTTTTGATTCAGTTTCGGTTGAAGTTCTTTCAGACAAACTCCACGCTTGTGGCCTTTCTCCATTAATTAATAACTTTTTGTACAATTTGCTGTCAGAGAAACATATGAGCTTTTCTCATGGAAACTCTACAGCTTCACGATTTAGCTACATGGATCTCCCCCAGGGCTCATGTTTAAGCCCCCCTTCTGTATAATTTCTACGTCAGAGAAATTGACAATTGTCTAAGTGACAACTGCACGTTGAGACAACATGCAGATGACGGAGTAGTGTCTATGACAGGGCCCAGAGAGGCCGACCTGCAAGGACCCTTACAGGATACCTTAGACAATTTGTCTACTTGGGCTATCCAGCTAGGTATCGAATTCTCCATGGATAAAACTGAGTTGGTCGTTTTTTCTAGGAAGCATAGCCCAGCACAACCAAAACTTCAACTTTTGGGTAAACCGATCACTCATTCTATGTCATTCAAATATCTTGGGGTCTGGTTCGATTCAAAATGCACCTGGAGATCCCACATTGAGTATCTGAGACGAAAATGCCAACAAAGGATCAATTTTCTCCGAACAATTACCGGAACGTGGTGGGGAGCTCATCCGCAAGATCTTCTAACGTTGTACCGGACAACGATTTTATCGGTTTTAGAGTACGCGGTAGTTTTTGCTTCCAGTCGGCGGCTAAAACGCACATCATCAAACTGGAACGGATCCAGTATCGCTGTCTTCGTATCGCGTTAGGATGCATGCACTCGACTCATACGATGAGTCTCGAAGTGTTAGCGGGCATTTTGCCACTCTCTGATCGGTTTTCGGAATTATCCCTCAGGCTCCTCACCCGTTGTGAAATTATGAACCCACTGGTGATTGCAAACTTTGAGAAGCTTCTTAGCTAAACCCTCAAACTCGTTTTATGTCATTGTACTACGTGTACATAACACAGGATGTCAGCCCTTCGCAGCATAATCCCTATCGTGTTTGCTTCTCCGACTTAGGCAATTCTGTTCATTTTGATTTATCCATGATGCAAGAGATTCGCGGAATCCCAGAGCATCATCGTTCTATGATTGCTCCGTCAATTTTCGCTGCAAAGTTTGGCCAAGTTGATTCCGCAAAATCGTTCTTCACAGATGGATCACTAATAGAGTCGTCCGCTGGTTTTGGTATTTTTAACGAATTTCATAGCGCCTTTCGAATGTTTCATGCTCCTTGTTCCGTAGGGTAAATGTCGGCTTCGGCACACATTGACTGTTTTCGGCAACCAAAATTTAAACGATAATTTAACTATGTTTTCCCAACAACACCCTTCCCTGAATGTGTCCAAACGATTCTTTAGTCTTTCAGCTTCAATCTGATTATATTTGTACGACCGAGAAATCCTATTATGCCAGATTTTTCTTCAAATGAAGTATACGCACTACAAAATTGGGCTGATTTCGAGTTGCCGATAATAGAACAGCTGGTTAACACGCAGTTCTAATGGGACGGTTGCCGAAGAAAAAGAGACTGCCGACAATAGTCACACTCACCTGAGAAGTTTGAAGCGTTGTAAAAAAGCTTTCAAACCGTTTTGAAAAATTCTGTCGATTGGAATGGATAAAGAAGCAAGTAGCAGATGAATATAAACAAACAGACACGTCATATATGTGCGTGACGCTGAAAAAATGCTAATAGAAGTGCGGACGCTGCTTAGATTGACGAGAATACGTAAATTCCCCTCTATGTTGCTGAACTGGCGGCAATACATTATACGCTAGAAACGATCTTTTCACTGGCACCAGATCATTATTTTATTTTTACGGATAGTCTCAGTTCTGTCGAGGCTATTCGCTCCATGAGGCCTATAAAGCACTCCTCGTATTTTCTCATGAAAATACGAGAGCTTCTAAGTGCTCTATCTTTAAGATCTTTTGTCATCACCTTTGCATGGGTCCCATCTCATTGCTCGATTCCGGGCAATGAGAAGGCGGACTCGCTTGCAAAGGTGGGCGCTATGGAAGGCGATATTTACGGTCGACAAATCGCCTACGACGAATTTTTCTTCATTTATCGTCAACAGTCACTCGCCAGCTGGCAAAATAAATGGAGTGAAGGGAGTTTGGGAAGATGGTTGTATTCAATTATCCCTAAGGTGTCGAAGTGTCCTTGGTTCAAAGGTTTGGAGGTGGGTCGAGACTTCATT